AGAACTGCCCGAGAAGGCCATGGAAGTCAGTGGGGGACGGGGGCATCATCTTCTGCTGCTTGTAAAAGCAATTCTGCATCTAATTAGCCACTAGGATTGCTTTTACATGAAAGCCGATTGCTGGCTGAAAAAAACGATACCAGGATGATGCCTGCAGCTGTAGGCATCATCCTGGTATAAGCATTCAAAATCCAGTGATGTACCAGTACCTCGGTTTATGAATTTAATTCATTCTGCAGGACATTTCATATAGCGAAAAATTTGTAAACCGAAACACTGTTTCCCATAGGAATGCATTGAAAACCAATTAATTCATTCAGAAGGTCAGAAAAACGGTAAACGCTACTAAAATACTGTTATTTTATTAACTCTTATTTAATATTTATACTATTTTAGTAGTGACAACCATGTGTTAATAAAACGATAAATATATGTGAGTGCAAAATATAGACAGCAGCTGGCATTAAAGGTAACCCTCTACACCTCCAAATAATACAGTATAATATAAATGCAGCGCTAAAGATGAAGAGAAACAATAATAATGAATGGTACAGGGTGAGCGCTAATGCAGCGCTTATAAAGTGGTATTGTGATAAATCGTCTCTTAATGATGTGTTACAAGAGTTTATATGAAATCAATATATAAAGTGACTGTAATGCATCATATGAAAAAATGCAAATAAAGTCCATTGAAATAGGTGATCCGTGCTTCGTGCTGGTGATCTTATATGGTGAGGGCCAGTAATATGGATGCAATCACCAGAAGCGCACAAGATATGCGCATGTGTATAAACATCCAACAGTGGGCATCAAGATCTGGGCAGGGGCTGCGGGGTCATCAGGCACACTCTAGGCACACAGGGTAACACCACTCCCTCATAGGACACACTCTGCTCCCAGGGACAGCTCCACGTTATCATCAGACCACCAGATCAGAAGCATCAGAGGTTGGGGGAAATCTCCACCTTTATTCCTGTTCCAGTGAAAAATGTTGGACTCCCCCACACATCTTCACTCTCAGGGTGACCAGGAATGTGAATCTCTCCAGCAGGCACACACCGCAGTTTCATCTCAAACATAGTAACATCACCTCAGTCCTCCTCCTGGCCCAGGGCCCGCAGCCCATGCCCAGATCTTGATGACCACTGCTGGATGTTTATACACATGCGCATATCTTGTGCGCTTCTGGTGAGTCCATTCATATTACTGGCCCTCACCATATAAGATCACCAGCATGAAGCACGGATCACCTATTTTTCTGGACTTTATTTGCATTTTTTTTCATATGATGCACTACAGTCACTTTATATATTGATTTTATATAAACTCTTGTAACGCATCATTAAGAGACGATTTATCACGATACCACTTTATAAGCGCTGCATTAGTGCTCATCCTGTACCATTCATTATTATTGTTTCTCTTCATCTTTAGCGCTGCATTTATATTAACCATGTGTTAATGTTTCAGCTGTTAGCGGGGTTCTCAGGGTTCCAGAGGTGGCTCTAGGCTTTGTGAGGCCCTAGGAAAAACACAGACATGAGGCCTCACTCACGTCCATAATGGGAAAAATAATGTAACAGTGATAAAAATGAACTGTATAAATTTCATATTTTAATATTTAAATTCCTATGAACTATGAATTCACAGTTTCTAGAATTTTTCTTAACCAATTATTCTTTAATCAAATATCATTAGGCATAGGTATGTACAGTGTTCAGCATAAATGAGTACACCCCTTTTGAAAAGCACGATTGTAATCAATATTTCAATAAACACAAGAACAATTTCCAAAATTTTGACAAAACTGAGTTTTCTAGAACATTTGTTTAGCTCATTACATGAAAATAAGGTTAATAATATAACTTTGATAAGAAAAAAGTGCTAGTGAAAATGACATATGCCAGTTAAAATATCTCTCAAAGCTCTAGCGTTCTTATAAATAAATAAATAAATGGTGACTTGAGTGAACAAATTATATATGATATGATATTGGTGAAGCGCTCTATTCCGGCACCACAATGATAAACAGAGAAGCAAAAGTGAATAAGCAAATATAGTGTAGTGCTGAAATGCAGTGCAATGGTGACAAATATATCTATATTGTGACTGCAGTGAACAGATCAGCAAATATTGCAACTCAAAACAAAATCAAAGACCAAATAATCAATTGCATCAAAAGATGATCGTGACATCAAGTGATAAGTGAATCCGTGACAAATTCTTCCTTCTATTGCACTCACCAGAAGAGCATATTAAATGCGCATTAAAAGCAATGGTAACAAACTCCTCCAACAGGTCAGCCTTATCCACCGTAGGGCACAGGTAAATGGAATGCACAGCTGTCATGCACCAGAAATAGGAGATACCTCCAACAGATCACTCAATCCTCAGCATAAAAATAGCTCCACCTTGAAGGGAACAGCTCACAAAAGAGCCCAGAGAGAGAAAACGCTAATGGTGCAGTATTTTTATTGAAATTGTAAGAGCATCCACTTGGAGCAAAACAGATAGGTAAAACCACTTACAAAGAAGGCCGCCAGCCATTGTACGGATGCGGCGGCTTGACATCAGCACGTAGGCTCTATGATGAGTTTCGTGCACAAGCACGTTATCAAGGGGATCCTTTGGCGGCATCTGAAGTGTGGTAACCCGACTGTAACAGTTTGCAGCTTCACAGATGGGTGCCCACTGCTCATTGTGAATGGTCAAGAAGTCTTAACCACATGTCCCAGAAGACTGCAGGGAGGGGAAGTTGGAGCAAGTACCTTTCAAAATCAGGTACCCACTCCCAAAAGGTGCCAATTCTTCATATAGAGTGGGGGACCAGTCCTTAAAGTGGATCTTCCCCCTTCTCCTGATAAAACACAACAGTACAACTCTACACCTGCCGCTCCGTTCTTCATACAGTCCCACCCTCCCAGTCCCCCTGTGTCCCATATCTGTCCTTGGAATCAATCCAGCTGGTTTTCTGGGTGTTGTGGTCAATATAAAACACCTTGCCTTTTTAGTCTCTGGCCTCTTTCCAGTTGTCCGGTAAAGGTAGCTGCCCATTCAGTTTTGTAGGGATCAGCCACCTGCTGACCCCTCCATAAGTCCAGAAAGTGTCAGGCAGGAAGGAAGGCTTCCCCTGGTTCAGTGAGTCAGCATGGTGTGGGACTGAACATGGGGTGGCATGAGAGAGAAGCAGTCCAAGGGACTTGGCAGAGACAGCTGCATGCATGTGGATCCGGGGAAGCCAAGGGTCATTAGCACGAGTTTAGCATCTGTCTCATTTGCACGCACATTCCATAGTCCGCATTCCTTAGCTTTAAACCCATGTGTGCTAGCCTGCTCACCCTGCCAGCCTGGGGACACCAACCAGGAACATTCCTTCTCACAGGCACATTAAGCAAATTAGGCAGCCATGAGGCCTTAGGCAACTGCCTAATTTGCCTAATTAAAGAGCCACCACTCTTCATCACTTCCACCACAGGAGGAAAGTAAGTCACCACTCTCTCCCTGGTAAACTGCTTTTTGAAAAAAAAAATCACACCTAGTCATTTTATTTTCATGATAAAATGGAAGGATTCATTACCTTAGACTTGTGAATGTTTGTGAATGTGCTGTATTGCTTTGCTTCCCTTCAAACCCCGCACTGGAAAAATCCAAAAAGTTTACCAATCCTAGTAATCAAACCACCCTGTAATTACATACATTCTTTAAAATGTTTAATTACAATATTGTGAATATGACATTTACATGGCATTCTGAATTATTATAACAATATGTGCATGATTATGCAAGGCCAATGTATGAACTTGTTTTCTTCCCAGATTATTCAGTGTCAGATAAGAAATTATTCTAATAAAACATTGCAATAAATGTGTGTTTGCTAGTTCAGAAATATGTTTTGTTTTACTGTATATGGCTCTTGGGAATATGGATGCTTGAAAGTAAATTGCTGTTTGTTGCAAAAAAGGAAAAACAGTCCGCTCTTAGGGATCAATGTACATTACATTGCAAGGATTTTAATAAACTTTGTTGCAAAGTCCTACCTATTTTTGCTCTGAAGGAATACCTCTTTGTTAGATCATGTCATATACAGGACTGATTCTGAATTGCAGTGACTATTTAATTTTTGATCAGCAGATACACTTACAGGGCTCTAATGAGGAGAGTGGCAGAATTGGCATTCCTTTAGAAATTAATAACCCTGTAGGAGCATCCCACCAAAACTGAAGTTTTTATTGCAGATGTGTATCTTCTTGCAGACTTCTAGGAAAATTAATGAGCCAAACACGCAAGCAGGAAATGACATTTCTGGGGTGTAGGGATTGCCTCCATATTTCCATATTTCAAATTACAGCGCTGTGGATTGAAAAGGAAATATCATTTTTAATAACATCAAATTATAATATGACTTGTGTCACAAGTGTGTATATGCTATGTGATTTTTTTTATTTGAGATATTTTTTTCCCATGAATATTGACCTACACTTTAAAGTGTAGGCAGAAAATTAATTCCTGATAGATCACTTCAGGCTGGCCAGTTTTACAGGTATGTAAAACATTAAAAAAGAAATGCCTATACTGTTTAAAATCCAGTCATACCTGTATATTGTCTCACTCTGCTCTGCACGTACTCAGTTGCTCTCTATTTTTAGGCATGGTGCCAATTTGTAGAAGTCAATCTACTGAAAGCCTAAAGATTTAATGGTGCAAAGGGCTCTGGGATTCAACAAAATGGCAGCAAGAAGAAACAGGAACAATACTGGAGGCAAACACAGCACACACTCAATTTGGTAACATAATTAATGAGGAGAATGTCTGTGCTGGCAGTCTTATCTTGAAAGGAACCCTTTTTTAAATTTTTACATAGGGGCATAGTGGAGTTTAGGCCTAGAACACCCTGTTTTTACAAAGGTAGTACCTTTTCCTGTTCCTGCACATGTTTGCTACATCAAGGCAGGGATGGCCTTGCAAGGAAAAAACTTTTCTTTAGGCACAACTGGCCTTTTTTAACCTCTTGACGCCGTCCGCACACAAATGTGCAGCATCCCAGCGTCTGGGCCTTGAAGCTGAGCAGCTGCAAATTTCCGTGCAATTAAGAAAAACATATGTGCTGAGAGCGTGCCCTGCATGCTCCCAGCACACATGTCCGGTACTCACAGAAAGGTCCTGATCTCCTCTTGTGATCAGGACCTTTCCCAATCACGTGACCGCCACGATAGCAAATTCCCGACTTCTGAAACCCTTAAAGGGCCAGGAGGCACTAGCGCCAAGGGATTAATAATGATAAGGATGTTTAGCCTACAGCCTATGGCTGTATATTTTAACCCTGCAGCTATTCTTCCAGTTTGGGGAATTTTTGTGATATGAGAAAATATGGCAAAGCACTGATTTCAAAAATTCAGCACACTGCCTCCACAGATAGTGAGCTCCTCTTTGTAAAAAATGGCTTCGGCTTGGTATCCTACCCATAAAAGAACCCGCTCCAACATATTTAACTCAGTAGGAGCTTTTTCGTAGAGCCTCTATGATAGATGTAATAAGACTAAAATTAAAAGTAAAGCTGATCCAGGGAATATCCGATTGCCTCTTGGGGGATCAGGAAGAAATTTTTTCCCCTGCAGAAGCAAATTGGATCATGCTTTGCTGGGTTTTTTTTGCCTTCCTCTGGATCAACTGTGGGTGTAGGTTTATAACGTTTTTCTTTTTTTTTTATGGATGAACTGGATGGACTTTTTTTCTTTTTTTAAGCCAGACTAACTATGTAACTATGTATGTAAAATTATAGAACTTTTTACAGTACAGTACAGTACAGTATAAGTACATACAAAGACAAAAAAATACAACAGATATGAAGTCAATAAAAAGAATTGCGTTTTCTTTCACAGCAGTTTTTATTAGCAAAGGTGAAATTCATACAGGCAAAGCACCACGATACATTTTTAACATACAATTTAATAACAATGAATTTGTTCCAACATATAACCTGAATGTTCAAAATAATGAAGGTTGCAAAAATGGAATAAACAGGATTATGATGACAGAATTGCATCTTGAGATTGGATGATGGGAGTTAGCAAGGCTTCACCTCATTCACTAAGCTCTGAGGAAAATCCCTTGCAAAGTGCCACTCCTTTGCAAAGTGAACAGTCCAGTTGCCTTTACAAACAAATATAAATAGAAGAGTGGGCAAAACCAGTAGCACCACATCCCTTTTAAACACATATTTGTGTATAACTGTGATAAAGAAAACTGGACTTCAGTGCTGCCAATTATAGGAACAAAAATTTAAAGGATAAAATCTTAATATCTTATTTGATATATAATGCTTTATTCTTTAAAACTGTGTTCCTATATATGACACCTTTAAACTCCAGCTTTCTTTACTATGATTATAGACATCTATTTGTCTTTAGTAAATCATTCCCCATTGTTACAACTCAAACCAAAAGGCAAGTATCTTTCTCAGGCATGGTGGTAACTATACTTAGTACGAAAAAAATATACATTAAAACTGAAAGACTATGTATTGCGGAATAAATCATACCATTTATTTTAGGCTATTTAGTTTCATGCCTATTAGCAATCAGGTAATTTGTAGTAAGCAATTGGTATGTCACCGTAGCAGATGCATCTGCAATCCATAGGGTTTGTTATTTACACTACATTATCTACAATTCACAATTTATTTTCATGGCCTTAAAATGAAAAGCAACATTGAAATAAGTGAACAGATTGCAATTTTCAAGTTGAGATTTCAGTCTGAGCATTATTTTTATACTTCATCAACAAAGAAAGAAAATAAACATGAATAATTTCAAAAGTGAGAAATATCTGGATAATATTCTTTGCCAAAACAAGTCTTCCCAGACCAGTTCATTTCCATGTTTGTGATCAGATGCCAAATACATTTCAAAAACTAGTTTAGCCATAAACATTTGTTTTAATTAGTGTTGGAAAAATAATATATGGACAATAAACTATATAAAGCCTGCCCCTTATGACCGATTCTTTCTCTTAATGCTAACAGTTTTATGCATTATGTTTATGTACATTGAGAGCTGAGATGTATTTGAAAGAGAAAACAAACACATGATTTAAATAAATGTTTCATATGTGTATCTTCTGTACTTTTAAAAGCAGGTTGATTATAGAGGAATCTATACTGGGTGTATTGTTTATGTTACTTGACTTTCCGTTCTGTGCTATGGTCTATTTCTGACCCACTATAGAAAATAAGACGGTATTGTCCATTGAGGCACACTAATTGCGTATTTGGTTATTGGAAAGTTTGGTATACATGTAGGCTCCTACTCTTAGTTCCCATCATCCATTCCCTGTTCTAGCAAATTCTTCTATTCTTCCCACAAAAAGTACAAATAGTAGCACAGCTGCCTCTACAAACCAAGAGTCCTAGATGTACAAACAGAAATCCTTAACCACTTCAATACCGGGCACTTTTACCCCTTTCCTGCCCAGTCCAATTTTCAGCTTTCAGTGCTGTAGTACAATGGCATGATCATGTAACACTGTACCCAAATACATTTTTATAATTTTTTTTTTCACATTTTTTCTTTGATGATATTTAATGACCACTGGGTTTTAATTTTTTGATAAATGAATAAAAAAAGACTGAAAATTGTGAAAAAAAACAAGTTGTTTGTTTTTGTTTGCAAAATTTTGCAAATAAATAATCTTTCTTAATAAATGTAGCTCTAGCTGTATTCTGCTACATCTCTTTGGTAAAAATGACCCAAATTAGTGTTGATTATTTAGTCTGTAGGAAAGTTTTAGAGTCCACAAACTGGTATCTACAGTATATATCTGAAAATCGATTAATCATCATGTACTGTTAGCCGATCTCATTTCTTCAGTTCCTAAAATACCAAGACAATACAAATATTCCCCAAATTACCCTTTTTTGGAAGCTATATATTCCAATGTATTTAGTAAGAGGCATGGCAAGTTTTATAAAGTTGTACATTTTGTGAGAATTAATTGAAAAACAAAGTAATTTAAAAAAAAAATTTGTTTCAAATTTCTTTTGTATGTACTGTCACCAGTGCAGTACAGTATCATCATATAACTGGTATGGTGGTGATCATGAACACTGACTGGTGAAAGTATGTAAAAAAAATCAGTAATATTTTTTTTTTATTTTTGTTTTCTTTTTTATTAAATTTTTTCTTTTTTTATGATATTTTTTTCATACTGTGACAAGAGCAATGGAGCATTACCATAGTTACATTGTACTACTCTATGGAAGTGATCAGATTTTTTTTTTTTACACATTATGATCACTGTTATATAAGAAACCATTTTTACTGATGAAATTGATTTATTCGGGGGGTGGGGGGGTGGCCGGCCATGGTAGGAGATGGCCGCATAGTGTAGGAGCTCTGGGACCCGCCCGCATACACAGCGGCTGACCGCGATGAGGGACAGAGCTGTCAGCTCCCTCCCTGCCTGGCACCTGAATAAGGAGTGTGGGACCCAATCGCTCCACATGGGAAAACATAAAATCAAAGAGGGGCCCCGCAAAGTCACGGAGTTCTTTGCTCCGGCAGGCGGCCCCTCCTCCTCCCAAGATGGCGCTGGTCCAAGCATCTCTCCCTCACCACAGCCATATATGGCAGAGGAGAGGCAGTGTTCCCGTCCACAGCCTCCTAGCCCTGCCACATCAGCAATATCAGCAGGAACTATACCTGCCAGCAGCCCTTCAAAGCACACACAGCACAGTTCCCTGGAACCACAACTGACTGGTGAGCATGCCACAGATTCCTTTTCTCACATTAACACTACTGAGCTTGTTGAGCGTTTAGAGGATTACCCTGCTGAAAATCTGCCCCTAACTGCCACTGTTATGAAGGATATGCTTGTTACTCCTAAAAGTTCTTTGCACAAGGACATGATGAGTTTTGTGACATGGGTGAATGCAGAGGTTGAACAGCTGGGTGAGCATGTCAATCATGTGGAAACATCAGATGGGTGAATTTGCGACTACTCACAATGAATTGGTGGATGCACCCAATGATGCGGAAGAGGAATTGAAGGCACTGAGGTCCAAAATGGCAGATCTTGAGGATTGCTCACGCAGGAACAATGTTAAGTTTAGGGGGGTAAGCAAAACAGTTCCTGCGGCTGACCTGAGAAGGTATATTCAGCATTCGATTACCACTTTATTGCCGAGTCTGTCTGAAAGGGATGTGATAGAGCACATAGACTGCCAAAAACTTCCTTTCTCCCTGACCATGTCCCCAGGGATGTCATCACTAGAATCTACTTTTACCATGCGAAGGAGTCGCTGATGACATTTGCGAGAACGCACAATCCCTTACCGCCGACGTATAATGGCATATCTTTGTTCGCTGACCTCTCCCAGTATACCATTCTTGCCAGTAAAAAATGTATCTCTTTCACAAAGTTACTCAGTCATAACAATATAAAATACCAATGGGGATTTCCCACAAAATTGCTGGTAACTGAGGATAACCGTTTACTGACTGTCACCTCAGAAGTAGAAGGATTTCAACTTGCGCAAAAATGGGGGATTGTACCCGCGGAAGGAGATATGTCGACCGCTAAATCCTCCCCTCGAAAAGTTTCTTCTGATTGGGACAGAGTGGTAAAATGAGGCACTACTCAGCATTGTTGTGTTTGGATAGGACCAAGGGAGGGCTCCGCCTCAAGCCCAGTACCGCATTTATTTGGCGGGTGTGCTTGCTATCAGATCTCGAACGTTACCCCCAAATTGTTGCAGTGACTTGTTTCAACTGCTCTACCTTAATGTCTGTTGTTTTTATTGTTTATTTCCCATCTTCCCTTCTCTCTATTTTTTATGGTCTTCCTAACAGAGTATCGCCAACTGCTTTATCTCAGGAATTCTTATGGGTTATTGAATTGTCTTTGCTGCTGGGGCTGTCGGTGCATACGCTCCAGGGAGAGTTGGTTCTTGTGAGTGGTTTTGTACAAGCTAACATTGATGTGCTGTTAATATCTTTCAGACCACTAGATGGCGGATATGTTATATCTATTCTGTATGTTTTAAAATGGTACTGAATGTTGTATCTATTAATGCTCATGGCCTTAACAACCCATTTAAACGTAGCATGTTGTGGAAGGAGGCGAAGAATCTTCATGGGGATATTCTTTGTGTGCAAGAAACTCATTTCTCGCACTTAAGGCCCCGCGCTGTTCCCATAAATTGTTTCCTCATGTGTTTACAGCTAATGACCCCCTGAAAAAATGTGGGGTCCTGATTGCAGTTAAACAGTTCATAGCATTCTCTCTTCTTTCCCTGGAGAGAGA